GCTTCGGCGAGGGGAGAAACCGAAGCTGAGCGAGTCTGCCGCCCGGCTGGGTTCCGCGCAGGCTTTGAAGAGGAAAGGGTCAGGGTTTCCTCCCGTTCCTAGCGGGCCTGTCACTTCTGTGGCCGCTGAACCGGCAGCCCAAGCGGGACCGAGGGAAGCTGTCCACTCTCCGCAGGGCTCCCACCCTCGTCGTCAGTGGCCGGCCGCGGGGCTCTGGTTTGTTGCGTCCAGCCCGCTCCGGGCTCGGGCTTAGCGCCTGGTGACTAGCAGCAGCTACCGTGATTACCGCCCTCTCGGGGTGCAGGCGCTCCGTGCTGATGTCTTAGCCCTCTTTGGCCCCCTCGGCGCCCAGTGAGGGGCTTTGGGCGTAGTAGGTGGTTCGCGGACAACAGACTCGTGAGAGGAGCGCACCTGAGGTGGGGGAAGATGCCCGAGTGCTAGCTGGCTTTCACGGTTCCCTAAAACGCCTGCTTCCTAGGTCCCGAAACAGCAGAGCCAGAAGACTCATTCCCAGGCCTGGGCGGCGCCGTCAGGGACCATTGCATCGCCTTCGCCTCGATGGGCCTTTCAGTCTGGACCCAGGCGGCCGTTCTGAAGCTCCTTCCTCACTTTGGCACAGACCTAGAAGCCTAGATTGTTAAAGCACACCTGTCCAGGATGTCGTGAGGACCTTGCCTCCGTAGACCAGTAAGCTTCACCAGTAAGCATCAGAGGGGAAGTAGCCAGATAGGAATTACTTTATTATTTTATTTTATTTTTAAATATATCTTTATTGATTTCAGAGAGAAGAAAGGAGAGGGAGAGAGAGAGAGAGATAGAAACATCAATAATGAAAGAGTCATTTATCAAGCCCACAACCCGGGCACGTGCCCTGACCAGGAATCGAACCCCGATCGCCTGGATCCTAGGTTGATGCTCAACCGCTGAGCCACGCTGGGCCGGGCTAGGAATTATTATAAATATTTTCTGTTGCAGAAACCAGGTCAATGCCAGGTTTGTACCTAATAAATGCTTGTTGGGTTGAACTGGACTGATAGGTTGCTCAGTAGAGCAAGGGCAGGCATTTTGCCCGTTCTGGATCCCAGCACGCTTCTAGGAGCAACTGCTTATGGTCTGGGTGTGGTGAGGTCAGCTGGGAACCAGAGCTTTCACTTATTCAACAAATATTGAATGCCCACTATGTGCCATTGTTCCAGGCCTCAGTTCATATCTCAGTTCTGCCCTTTTTTGAGTGCTTGCCTTCAACAATCCTCACAACCGGTCAATTTCTTAACTACACATGGAGACTAATATCTGCGCTATCTCATGAGGTTATGATGGAGAGTAAAATGATGAGATAGTGTATCTGAATGTTTGTATAATGCAACTGATGTTACCTGGTCCTCTAAGAAATGAGGTCTGAAGAGACCTCCAGGGCCTGCCCCATCCCGACCTGCAAAGCCTTTAAAGAGAACAGACTTTGGGCGCCAGGCTCAAGGGCATGACTTTACTCTTCAGCCATAGACTTACATTCCTAAGAAGGCTTTTACAAGGCTAAAGAGTACATTTAAAAGAGCCCCAGTATGATAACACAACTAGTGGTGAACAACTCAGGTCAGTTCTATGTCTTTAGCGCTTTTATTAAGCTTTCTTTTCATCCCTGTTGTCATTGCCCTGTTTCGCTTCCAACTTTTTCCATGATTGAATCAGCCTATTCACAAGCCTCTTGCCCCTTGGTATCGCCACCTAGTCATACAAATCTTGATGATGCCACTCTTTTGATTAAAATTTAGTGTCTTATTATCACCCAGGACAAAATCTAAATGCCTTAATTTGGGTTCCCACCTATTATGCCAGCCCCATCTGTTGCCACCTCCTTCACATACCCTACACTACTGCCTTGAGATGACTCTCAATGCTTTCCAGGTGAGTCAGGCTCCCAGATGCCCTAGGAGTTCTCTCACTCTTTTCCCTCTGCCTGGAATGCTTGTTGCCCTCATCTTGTTAGATGAGCAATTACTACTCATCCTTCAAATCCCAAAGTCTTTTCCTTAAGAGCCTTCTCTGCCTCCCCTAGATAGGCTTCCCTCCTAATTTCCATTTCACTTTAAATATGCTTATACATACTGGTAGGATGACAGGACTTGTATTTGCATGCTTGGTTCCTCACTACATGTGAGCTCCCTGAGGGCAGGACCTTGTCTCTTCATGGTGATTATCTGGCATAGCATTTGGTATGTTGAGAGTGGGATTGATCTGCATAGGATTTCTAAACTTACTATCTGATTTTAGACATGTTACTTAACCTCTCTGTGCTTCAGGTTTCCATATCTGCAGAACAGTGCTAATAATACCCACTGAGCAGAATTATTGTAAAGGGCTACATAGCAAAACTCTTAAGAAGCTCCTGGAATATAGCTGGCACCTGGGACAGACGTACTGGCTCTAGGATGACCTCTACAAACATTTGCTGAATCAACTCAGCAGATTCAGAAAGGGGGCGAATAATTATTGTACTATACGCCTACTAGGTGCCAAACGCGGTCCTAGAAAGGGTTGCCGTTTTCGTGGTCTAAATGAGAGCCTTAATTATTGCTATTTAGGGACGCGTCGCTCACCCGAGTGTTTGGTAAGGACTCAGTGCGACGTCGCCCTGTCCCTTGCTGATCGTAGCCTGAGGACAAGCTCAGGCGAACCTCATGAAACCAAAGACACTCGCACGTCCTGAACGTGTGCTCTCCGCTCTTCGCGGGAGCGCTCGACTTTCAGCGCCGCTAGATTCCCAGCAGGCTGCTTCCCACTCCGGCGCTGGAGTAGCCCCACCCACTCGAAGCTCCCTGGGGGCGGCGCCCGTGGCGTCGCGCTGTCGTCACTTCCAGCGGACCCGGAAGCGCCCTGGTCGGGCCGCGGTGGTTGGGAAGTCGGGATGGGGCTGCGCTCGGCTTAAACCCTTTGCGGACCGTAGGCCGAGGGCCGGCCGGGGCTGCTGACGCCCGGGCGCGCGAGGAGCGCGGGGTTGGCTTCTGGAACAGTGCGGGCGAGGCCTGGAAGTGTGCGCCTCCTGCGCTGGCGTCGCCCCGCCTCCAGGATAGGACCCGCCCCGCCCTCGGTGCCCGGGACGTTCGGCGGGGCTGCCCCGCCACCCCGCCCGGGCCTCGGCCGGCTGGGGCGAGCGGATGTGCGCTCTCGGGGACAACGTCAGCTAGCGTCTTCGCGACCGTCTGCCAGGTTGCCCAAACGCTGACGTGGAACAGCCAGTTCTGAATCCTCATGGAGAAGTTTGGGATGAATTTCGGGGGCGGCCCGAGCAAGAGGGACCTGCTGGAGACCATCGAGAGCCAGAAGAAGCAGCTCATCCAGTATCAGACGCGTCTCAAGGATGTGGTCCGCGCCTATAAAAGCCTACTGAAAGAGAAAGAGGCTCTAGAGGCCAGCATCAAGGTGCTGTCGGTATCCCACGAAGCGGACGTGGGCCTCGCAGGTGTCCAGCCTCCAGGCTTCACCTGTCCTGACTCTGTGGATGACCGATGCTCCACTCACAGCGAGGATAGCACTGGGACCGCCACCAGCTTGGATACCACAGCCAGTCTCACTAGCACCAAGGGTGAGTTCGGGGCAGAAGATGACAGACTGGCCCATGGACCACCACCTCTAAAGTCCGAAGAGGCTAGTGGGTCAGAGAGTGGTGTTAGCAGTAGCAGTGGGGATGGACAACCTGCAGGTGGGGAGGTGGACAAACGATTGCACCAGCTGAAGACCCAGTTGGCTACTTTGACCAGCTCTTTGGCCACAGTCACCCAGGAGAAGTCCCGCATGGAAGCTTCTTACCTGGCTGACAAGAAGAAGATGAAACAGGACTTAGAGGACGTCAGTAAAAAGGCAGAGGAGGAGAGGGACCGTCTGGAGGGAGAATTGAAGGGGCTGCAGGAGCAGATAGCAGAAACCAAAGCCCGGCTTATCACACAACAGCACGATCGGGCCCAAGAGCAGAGTGACCATGCCTTGATGCTGCGTGAGCTCCAGAAACTGCTGCAGGAGGAGAGAACCCAGCGCCAAGACTTGGAGCTTCGGTTAGAAGAGACCCGAGAAGCCCTGGCTGGGCGGGCATATGCTGCTGGTCAGGTGGAAGGGTTTGAACTGCAGACTAAAGAGCTGACCCGTGAGGTGGAGGAGCTCAAAGGTGAGCTGCAGGCTCTTCGAGATGAGAAGACTCGGCCAGACCCCCGGCTGCAGGAGCTTCAGGAAGAGGCTGCCTGCCTTAAAAGCCATTTCCAGGCTCAGTTGCAACAGGAAATGAGGAAGGTAATTATCTTCATCTCCTTCAAACAATCATTTAACCTAAAATGGGGAATATTAAGGCTTTTTTCTCCTTTGATAGTTAGATCTAAGTGGCTGCTCTTTCAGTTTTTGATGCTATTCAGAAAGTTGTATTTGTGAGTCCTGGGAATTCCTGTTCTGTGTGGTGTTGACAGAATCCACAGAGTGTGCTTCCAACAGGATGTGGAGTTTCTGAGTGTAAGCTGGGTTGGAGCCAGATAGCTCTGAGCTTCTGGGTATTGGCATCTTACCAGCTAGTCTCTGTGAAGCAGTATTGTAGCAGCTGTGCAATGAAAGTAGTATGTTTGCCTGTAAGTATATGCCTATACTTACAGGTAGGGTGGCTGAAAGGGGCAACAGGAATTTTCTTCAAGAAATAACCTCTTGTGATTGCTTTCAGTCAAGATTTGCCTTTTCTTTAAAGGTATGCTATTTTACAGTGCCTCTGTTCAGGGTGGAGAGAGATCCAACTCAGTTTTGAACTTACCAGGAATATTAAAGAGGAAAAGAATGTCATCTGATTTCTTAATAGGATTTGGGGAAGTGTATGATAAACAAGGGTAACATTTAATATGTGAGTTCGGTGTGTGATAGGAGAAAGTGAAAGCACTAAAGCAGAATAAGAGCAGATATACAAAGATTCTTACTATTGTTTGGTATAACTTATGACTGGGAGCAGAACCCAAGCAGATTATAGGAACTGTTGTTAGCTTCCAAATGAACAGAAAAATCCCCAGTTCCCATTCCTGCCAGGTCAGTCCCCGTCCTTTTGCTCTCCTCTCTTGCTTTCTCAAAAGTTTGCCATAGGACTTTGTGGCTTTTCTGGATGCATTTCTATCTGTTCCCTTGTTTTACAGACAGCCCTTGCGGAGGATCAACTACGCCAGCAATCCCAGCTGGAAGAGCAGAGGGTGGCAGCCCTGGAGAACCAAATATCTGAGGTGTCGGAACTGCTGGGCACCTATGAGAAAGCCAAGCAAAAGGACCAGCTGGCCATCCAGAAGCTGAAGGAGCGCATCCTGCAGCTGGACCTGGAGAACAAGACGCTGGCTCTTGCAGTCTCTAGCCGGTCCCCTCTAGACAGCCATGCAGAAGAGTCCAGTCTGGATGTCAATGTCCTGAAGGACAAGATGGAGAAGCTGAAGAGGCTACTGCAGGTGGCGGCCAGGAAAAGCCAGGTGACCTTGGATGTAGAGAAGCTCTGCAACCTGGAGATAATGCCCAGCTCTGAGGCTGCCGATGGGGAGAAGGCTACTACACTCTACTACCAACAGGAGCTGAAACAGCTGAAGGAAGAGTTTGAGAGGTACAAGATGAGGGCCCAGGTTGTCCTCAAGAGCAAGAACACCAAAGACGGTAACCTGGCTAAGGAGCTGGAGGAAGCCCAGGAACAGCTTGCAGAGCTGAAGGAGAAGTATATCTCCCTTCGGCTGTCCTGTGATGAACTCGAGCGCCAGCACCAGCAGGAGGCTGAGGACTGGAAGCAGGAGCTGGCCCGGCTGCAGCATCACCACCGGCAGGAGCTGGAGCGGAGCCAGCTGGACTTCAGGGACCGCACGCTGAAACTGGAGGAGGAGCTGCACAAGCAGCGGGACCGTGCCCTGGCCGTGCTGGCCGAGAAGGACTTGGAGCTGGAGCAACTGCGGTCCGTGGCCTTGTCTTCTGTGCTGCCAGGACGCAGAAGCCCTGTGGGTGGCGGGAGTCCTGGGGACCCGGCTGACATAGCTTCCCCAGATAACCTGACCCAAGCACTTCAACTTGCTGCGGCCAATGAGCCCACTTTCTTCCTGTATGCCGAGCAGTTGGCCCGCAAGGAGGTGGAGATCACATTGCTGAGGAAGCAGAAACACAGGCTGGAGATGGAGGTGCATCAGCTGCAGGAGCGGCTGCTGGAGGAGGGGGAGCGGCACCGAGAGGAGGTTGGAGTTCTGCAGAGCCACATTGAGAAGAACATCAGAGACCAGAGTAGGGAGGGAGCCAATCTGGAGTACCTCAAAAACATCATCTACCGTTTCCTGACCTTGCCTGACAGCCTGGGCCGCCAGCAGACGCTCACAGCCATCCTGACTATCTTGCATTTCAGTCCAGAGGAGAAACAAGTGATAATGCGGCTCCCACCCAGTGGTAGCTGGTGGCCTTCTGGCAAGCGATGATGTCATTTTTACTAACTCCTGAAATTTCCGTGCCTCTTATGTGGGAAGAGAAAGGCTCTAGTTTCTATTGCCTCTTCTCTTACCTTATCATTTTTTTCTTCACTGTGTTGAACTGGGAGGAGTCTTCAAAGTGGGATGGGATTTTCTGCCAAATGCCATTAATGCTGCTTTATTCTTGGGCCCTAGAAATACTGGAAGAGTAGGGACAGAATCTTCTGGTGGTGTGTGTGTGTGTGTGTGAGGGGAAGGAGGGGAGAGGCTAGGATTGAAACATACAAAAGTCGAGGAAGTGGTAGGAAAATATTTGAAAATAAGACGTTTTTGTTTTATTATTATGCTCCTAGTGCAGAGCTAGGAGTAAATGCGACTCCAAAGGGAGTTCAGGTAATTTCTAAACACGCACAAGGACTGGCTATTTTCTCCATCGTCACAATCTGAGTCTGGTCCACTGCTGCCCCAATTATCTGGGGACATAAATCCAGGCTGGAGAAGGACTGGGAAGTTTGAAATAGTGGCAGGTTGTCCACTAGTTCAAAGGGCCAGGGAATAGCGAGTTCATCCCAGAGCTGGGAAGCTTGGTCTAGTTAGAAGCGAGCTGGACAAAACACTCCTTTTGACCACCCTAGAGAAAACTCTGAGCACCAGTTTGATCTTAGGGATTTCCTGAGTAACCTGCTTTTGGCCTGGATAGGGTTCTAATAGACCTTTCACACTTGTCCCTGCCTTAACCAGCCTGCCTGAGGTTGGCCTGAGATTTGTGAGTGAAAGACTGCTATCTTTTCTTCAATGTTGAACTTCCGTTAAGAAAAAAATCCTAGCTTCTTACAGAGAGAGGTCCTATTGGGAAGCTCTGACCCTGCCTGGATGCAAGGAATTAGCTTAGAGATTTATAGGAAAGAGGAAGGAGATTTGCTATAGAGGATTCCAGAAGATTGCTGGGACCCTCACAGGAAAGTGGTGGAGGTTCAACCGAGGCCAGTGGGGGTACTTGCTGCTGCTTGGATAACATCCTGGCTAAATCCCCAGATCTCTACAAGCAAGATGCTTATGGGTTGCTGTCACCAGGGTATTTTGCCCACTCCCGTAGGGAGGTAATAGAGTTTCAGCCCACAGTTATCTCCCCACATGTGTTACTGTTACTTTTCCTTGTCCTGTAGGGTTTCTTACATTTGGTATTGCATAAGTAGATTCATTCTGCACTTAAGGAAAGGAGGCTTATTTTTCAGTCAGTCTGGAAAGGAGGGACTTAGAAAAGTCGGGTTCAGACACTGTCAATTCCCTGTTTGTTCCTTGCCCCCCATCTGCTCTTGTAGGTTGTAGAGATCTTTGGACCTTAAAGACCAATGCCTTGCCACTCTCTGGACTAATCTGTATCTTTGTAATTTCATCATACGGCTCTGTTTTTGAGGGTTTGAGGTGCAGAAGACTTTGATTAAATATTCTAATTGGGAGGCTGGGTGACCTGGGTTATCTACAAACTACAAATAGTGCATGGACTTACGGAACAGAAGCGATATGTTCAAATGTTAATAACATAAACCATGGAATCATTAAACCTGAACAGCTTGACCTGTGTGCTTCTGTAATGGTATACTTTTATCTGGACACAAATAGAGTGTGATTGTAAATGGTAAATGGAAGGATGGAAATAATATTTCATTATATTAATCCATGAGCTTGAATCTAGGGATGGATACCTCTGCTTTAACTGCCTCAATTACAACACTATTTGTTTTTTAGTCTGGAATTACGTGTGTATGTGTTTGTCTGTAGGCAGCTACACTGGAAAAAGATGTCTCATGGGTGTAGTGAGTGGGCTTGGAACCTCCATAGTTACTGCTGTAAACTTGAGAAGTAATTTGTGAATGGTGTATTATGCTTAATCTGGATTCATGGTGCCCTGGAAAAGTTTCTCAGGATATCATGCTGAACTAAGTTATCATCATCTCTTAATTTTCTGACCTGATCTCCTTAAATGTAGGATATACTGTATTATTATTGTTATTTCTAGGTGGTTTTGGATAGAACGGAAAGACCCGTAATCACAGTTGCTTTCTTGGGACTAATAATTACTCTGCTTTTGACTTTGGAGAAGATACCAAAAAGGCAAAGAAGCAAGTCAGTTTCTGATTAAGTATCTATTTACATGAGGCTGTGAATGCTTCCAACTGAAATGAAAAGACTTGGTCCCTTCCTACCCTTAAGGACACACACGTTCCTTCTCTCCCCACTCCTTTTCCCCAAATAAACTTTTCAGTTATTTGAAAGGTTTGCCTGTGCTAGATACTCTTAGAAAAGAAAGGGAGAGAAAGAGAAAGAACTGAGATCAGACCCAGTCAGAGAAAAATTTTCCTTGGGTTCTGATCCCAGAATATCAGACAGTTCATGAGTTATATCAGTAAAGTAATGAGACTGAACCTTACTTGTTTAACTATTACCACATAAATCAGAGGAGAATCACTGAGAAGAGATGGATGGAGAAAGTGGCAGGAAGGCAAATTGACACCTGTGAGAGCTTTTTACTTTTCCCCTGTCCTCTCTCCTGTTGGGTACCTCTGGTCTGGGGAGTAAACATCCATATGTCATGCCCTTGTTGTAAGTCCCCATCTGTTACCCTCAACCCTAAGGCTCTTGGCCTTGTCCTGAGAAGGGTTGTTTCACTAACTCTTGTGGAGTGTGACAACACCATGTTGAGCTGTAATTTACACCCATTTATCATTTATTCCTCACAGGTGTGACTATCCCCCATTTTATAGATGAGGAAGCAGAGACTGAGATGTTCAATTTGCCCACGATCATGTAACTAATAGAGGTCTAAACCAGGTCTGATTAACCCCAAAGCCTCCTTAATCTGGGTGTGCACCTGTCTCCTTAGGACTTGAGGGTCAGGGCCTGTCCCCATAGATGATTTCTAGGGATGGAGAGACTGATGTCTAGGCTGAACTGGTCTGGTTCAAATGGAGAGTAAGTGCTCCAGCTATAAATTGCAGTGAAGCATAACTGCTACAATACAGAGCTGAACAGACAACATTGATTCTTCCTAAGAGCCCTAGAGCTGCTCCATCCCCCAAGTTCTAGATGGCTGCTAATTTTAATTTATTGATTTTTTTAAAGAGAGAAGAAAGAATCTCTCTCTCTCTGTATATCCACATATATATATAGAGAGAAATATTGATTTGTTGCTCCCCCCTCCATGCATTCATTGGTTGATTCTTCTATGTGCCCTGACTGGGGATTGAACCTGCAACCTTGTTGTATTGGGATGACGCTCCAACCAACTGAGCTAACCTGCCAGCGCTACATGACTGCTAATTTTAAAACTCATATCTTTCTAACTAAAGGAGGGCTGGGTAACAGCTATCTCTATAGTGTGTTCCAACTCTAAGCTCTAATAAATCTGGGGAAACAGCTTTGGGAATTGGAAATAGAGCCCTAATGAATGGGGTCACTTTTCCCAATCTTCAACCACCTTTACTCCCTCCCCTTCACCCTCTTCTGCTTCTCCTAAGCAGCCTGGTTATGGGTGACTTTTGGAGCAAGAAACTGGATTCAGACATTCTGGGTTGAAATCTCAGCCCTATCTTCTGCCAGCTGTATGGCCTTAATAAAGTAATCTCTCTGAACTCAATTTTCTTGTAATGGGGGATAATAATACCTATTTCTAGGTTATATCTTCAGATTAAGAATGAAGAAAAAATTAAGTATAAAGAACCAGCACAAAATCTGAAGCAAAGTAAGTGGTAAACCGTGTTTCTTTTTTTCCAAGAATGTTAAGTGGCAGAATTGAAAGTTAGACTGAGTACTTCTGTATTTAAGTCCTGTTTCTTAACCACAAATGTTGCTGTAAACAAAAGGAGAAAAATGACTGGCTTTTATCAAGCGCCTGCTATGAAACCGATGGCTTGCATTTTCCACACATAATTTACTAATTCACTCAACAGTCTCGTGAAGCATATCTCTCTTGCAGGTGAGGAAATGGAGACATGGCGAGACGAATTGCCCAAGGCCCAGCGTCAGTAATGGCAGAACCAGAATTCAAACACGTTCTGAACCATGGCTCATGCTCTCAGTGCTGTCTCTGCTGTGTTCCAGCAGAGGGCAACGTGGAATGCCGAATGTGTGGCTCGAGAAACGGGCTGTGCTTCTGGCCTGGCCTGGGGGAGAACCGGTCCTTGTGCAGGTAGTCCTCTCTTCAGTGGCAACTGACTGCCTTATATTTCCCAGAAGCCTCATTCTTTCCTAGCAGCAGAGCTCTGTCACACTGAAAATTATGAAATAAACTGTTACAAGTCAGTTTTAGGTGAGTTTGACTAGTGACAGCCCGTTTTTCCTGGGACCCAGATCTCCTGGATAACCTAAATGTTGAGAGTTCTGTTAAGCCCGCAGTCCTGGGAGCCCAGAAAAGCGAAGGCCATTTGGAGGCCAATGACCCTTCTAAGGAGGCAAACCTTGTGCCTTGACTTTAGCAAGGAGACCATCTCTGGCTTAGTGTAAACCCAGCCGTCTCTGTGGGCTACCACTGAGGGACTAAGTATTTTGTTTCATATCTGAAAGAATGAATCTGAAGACTGATGATTTTATGTGAATATGAGTTTTTATTTTTTAATTGATTTTTTTTTAATATACAGAGAGGNACTTTAGCAAGGAGACCATCTCTGGCTTAGTGTAAACCCAGCCGTCTCTGTGGGCTACCACTGAGGGACTAAGTATTTTGTTTCATATCTGAAAGAATGAATCTGAAGACTGATGATTTTATGTGAATATGAGTTTTTATTTTTTAATTGATTTTTTTTTTAATATACNTAAACCCAGCCGTCTCTGTGGGCTACCACTGAGGGACTAAGTATTTTGTTTCATATCTGAAAGAATGAATCTGAAGACTGATGATTTTATGTGAATATGAGTTTTTATTTTTTAATTGATTTTTTTTTAATATACAGAGAGGGAAACATCAATTTGTTGTTCCACTTATTTATGCATTCATTAGTTGATTCTTGTATGTGCAGGTCAAACCTGTAACCTTGGAATATTGGGACGATGCTCTAACCAACTGAATTACCTGGCCAGGACCAGAGTTTTTAAATGTATATTGTACATAAACTTTTTATAAACGGAGGCTGTGCTATCCACACAGTCAGAATATTTCGGGGTTAGTATTTAGAGCGGGGTTCATTGCCTTCCCCTTAGTTCAACAACTATCAGGTCTCAGAAAATGAAGCCTCAGTCTAGAGAATGTCACAGGCCCATAGGGGACATCCTGCCTGTAAACTCCACTGGGATATCTGCCCAACTTGAAGCCTTAGTCAGCTGAGAGGAGAGGAGTCTGGGGGCCAAGCTTGTTTGTGTTGGTTTTGAATGTCTACATTGTATCACCTGGTTAGTTTATATTTTCCAAACCTAGGATCCTTAGGTACACTGTTCATTCTACCTTCAAAGCCCTTCCTCTGTCCCATCCCAATCATCTACAGTATGGTCCTGTCCTTTCAGACTCGGCTGAAATGTCACTTCCTCTATTGAATTTTCTGATACCCAGGGATACTCAGGTACTTCCTTCTCTGAGGTCCTTCAGTACTTTTTTCATACTGACCTTGAACACAGTGATTTCTTGTACTTTCATTTTTAAACTTACTTCTCTCTCTCCTTGACTACCTTATAAATCCCTCAAGGTCATGCCCCGTAGCTCCATTCTTCTTTGTGCTATCAGGACTTTTAATAACCTGGCACATACTAAGTGCTCTATAAATAGCTGAATGAAGGAATAAGAGACTGAAAAATACCAATTTTGTACAGTTCTATAATATAATCCACCATTTGCATTTGTCAGTTAATACTATCCATTATAGGATTTCCCCCCTCTCTAGTATAGGATCCTGTCTAGGATCACACATTGCATTTAGTCATGTCTTTAATCTCCTTTAATCTGAAACCGTTCTTCACCTTTTCCATGTCTTTTATGACAGTGACATTTTAAAGGAATACAGTCCTGCCCCCTTTTTTAAATAAAAGGTTCCTCATTTTGTGTGTGTCTGATATTTCTTCATGATTAGATTCAGGTTATGTGTTGCCTGCCAGAAAATTATATAAGGGATGTGATCTCCTTAGGACATCACATCTGGAGGCAAATTATATCCATCTGCCCTTCATAGGTGATATTAATTTTGATACTCAGACTAGGTGTCCGATTTCTTCACTGTTGAGAGTGGGACAGGCCAGAGGGATGATTTCATGCCAGAGATTCTTAGTATCAGTCAAACGGTGAACCTCTCGCTACAGGGCTGCCTCCAAGGGTCACAGGAGGGTGGGGGCTGGCTTGGAGGGGACAGCCCGTGAGGAGGAAACCCTTGGAGGAAGTAGCCTCTGGCGTCTGAGGGTTTCCTTTGCCTTGGGAAGCAAGCATGCTACAAAGGCAGGTCTGCCTGCCCACCACACTTCAGGTCATCACCTACAAGCCCAATGGGAACTCCTAATTAACTTAATGGCCTTGGAGTCTTTCCATAAGTGCTAGATATGGTGGCAGAACACCTGGAAATGTACAGGAAACAGGAAAGTGGGCTTTTTGTTTCTAGCAC